ATAATCCTATTCCACTGCTGGAATGGCCTGGGAATAGCCCAGATCTTCACCCAATTGAAAATCTATGGAGCCGACTAAAGAAACTTGTTTGTCAGAAGCGATCCAGCAATAAAACCCAGTTAATAGAAGCCATCCTTCAATCTTGGTTTCACATGATAACAGCTGCAGAACTAAAAGACTTGCTTCACTCCATGGGAAGACGTTGTAAGGCTGTAATTCATGCTAAAGGTTACCCAGCTAACTATTAACTGACATGGTGACCGTTTTTGTATATCTCGTTTTTTCTATGGTGGTCATTTTTGTATATCTCGCTTTTTCTACATGTTTCACTTTTCTTCTTTATATGGTAACTGCTATTCTAATAGCAAATCCTTCATAAAATTTATTGCATTACATTCTTGATTAAATTTGTTGTGTTTAGTATGGACAACACGGAGGCCAGACTGCCAAGAACACTAACTTTATTGTAACACAGAACTGACAGTAACAGCTAGATCCGTGCGGAGTAAACAAGAACGACAACTCGCCACCTGACAGCTGCTTAAATAGCAAGCTGTCAGACAGCGTGAACCAATCCCTGAGCCAGCAATTCCCGCTACTTTAGTTGCTCGCGTCTACACCAATCAGCGCCCGCTGGCAACACAGCCGGCGCGAGGGAAGTCGTAACTGTGAAGACTCAACACTCCTTCCCACCCAGACCGAGCATGTGTAGTCAGCCAAATACGCCGGACGCCGCCAGCACCACCCCGATCGTCTTAGTTCAGGCGTGGATGCTGCCGGGGGCAGAGCCGGAAGATTGCTCCCTTGAGTTATGGGGAACCCTCTGCCATCAGGAGATGGAGGACCAGCAGCATGCTCGGGGACCTCAGGTAAGCCATCCGACGATTCAGTCGGGAACGGGTGGGTTGAGTCAGGCCGGCCTGGTTGCACTTCCAGGGCCGCAGGTGTTGGTGAACTTGGTGGGTCCTGAACAGGGTGCGGGTCGGACACATCGGCAACTCGTCGTCTCAGTTGGTTTATGTGTCACCGCCACACTCAACCATCAGTGAGCTGGACCCTATAAGAATAGGGCCCGGTTAATTGTATTATTTGCCCTGGGAGCCACCTCATGTCACGGTCGAAGTTCAACACGAAGACCAGGTCACCCACAGCGAATGTCCTCACCTGCAACCATCCCCCCGGAGGCACCTTGTGGGTATAGGTAGGATGCAGGCGATCCAGTGTAATCCGGAGTCGCCTTCCCATGAGGAGCTGTGCGGGGCTGTGCTTGGTGGTAGTGGTGGGAGTCGTGTGTTGAGCCAACAGGTATTGGTAGACCTTATGGTGCCAATTTGAGGGTCCCAGCTGGCGCAAAGCCTCTTTGGCAGACCTCACGGCCCTTTCCGCCAAGCCATTAGCAGCCGGGTGGGCAGGAGCCGTTCGGGCGTGGCGGATGCCCAATTTAGCGAGAAACAGCTGAAAGGGTGTAGACGTGAACTGCGGGCCATTATCGGTAACTACGGTGTCCGGCAGACCATGGGTCACGAACAACCCCTCTAAAACCCTCGTCAAGAGAGCCTCCGAGGTGGTAATTGACATGATTGCGAGGTCCACCCACTTCGAATAGGCATCCACTGAGATTAGGAATGTGCGGCCTAGATCCAGGTGCACCCTAGCCCAGGGGGCCCTGGGAGTCTCCCACTCCTAAACGGGGGCCGCGGGAGAAACTGGCCTAGACTGTTGGCATTGGCGGCACCGAGCCACCTACCCCTCCATGTCCTGGTCGATGTCTGGCCACCAGACATAACTACGGGTCAGGGCCTTCATGCACACGGTGCCCGGGATGCAGGGTAATACACTGGATCTGAGGTTGGGGGGGACCACCACTCTATTTCCCCACAGGAGGCAGCCCGACTGCACAGACAACTCGTGTTGTCTGCGGAAGTATGGTAACAACTCAGGCGCCCTGTGTGCCTGCAGCCAGCCCCTGCGCACCCAATCCAGGACTTGTGACAGAACAGGGTCGGTCTGGAGAACCGGTAGCGGAAATTTTGAGTAGTTCGGAGAACCGGTAGTAAAAATTCTGACTGGCCCCGCCCCCATCTACTCTCTGCCTCCCAAGTCCCAGCTGATCGGGAGGAAATGGGGATTTTGTAGTAACCTTCCCCTGGATTGGGGAGGGAATGGAGATTTTACAGTATCCTTCCCCTGCCACGCCCACCAAGCCACACCCACAGAACCGTTAGTAAAAAAATTTGAAACCCACCACTGTACTATTCCCCCCCCCCAAAAAAGTGGTGTTATTAGCTAGTTTTAGAAAATACACTTTTCCCAAAAAGTTTCCATAATTTTGGCCGCTACTATATGTCAAAATTGAACAGCCCCTCTCTCAACAGAGGGGGAGGGATATGCCATCATCTATCTCCAGTCTACAACACAAGTCCTTTCAGGAGTTCCAAGAAAGGTCCACACCCATTTGCACCACTCAGGTGATCCTGAGGACACAGGTAAACCTCCAAGTGGCTTCAACAACCATCAAGGATGCAAATGAACAGCGGTCTGCAAGGAGTATAAATCCTTCTGTTCCCCGCCATCCCGTCAGAGCTAAAGAAGCTTCTTGGATGAGAAGCGAAATGCCTTCAAAGAAAAATAAAGGAAGTCCAGTTGCCTTTTGAAAACAAAGCACAAAGCATGAGAGAAGCGAGCGCCAGCAGGCTCTCCCGTTGCAAACCAGTAGTAAAGTTAAGTGGACCCCACCCCTGGTCCACACACCAACAAACAGACACACACCGTCTGGCTCAGAATGAATGAACTGTGTTTTGGAGAAGGCCTGTCTGCCTCTTTTTCCCAGGCACGGTGGATGTAACGCCCAAAATTTAAGCATAGCGTAAAATTGGGGAGGTTTAGCATTGATGGGTTTTAAAACGTGGTTCATCCATAATTCTATTGGAAGCAAATTTGGGCCTCTCCATTTTTTACAAGATTCTCGGTGGAACAGATGGTATAAGAAGTACATCTCATAATAATAATAATAATAATAATAATAATAATAATAATAATAATAATAACAACAACAACAACAACAACAACAACAACAACAACAACAACTCAATAACTCAAGATCTTGTGGGACTTTAGGATTCAGACTGACAGGCACTTGGTCCACAACACACCTGACATAACAATAGTTGAAAAGAAAAAAGGATGGTTCATTGACATTGCAATACCTGGTGATGCACGGATTGAAGATAAACAGCAAGAAAAAATCACAAAGTACCGGGATTTGCAAATTGAAGTTGAGCGACTGTGGAAAAAGAAATTGTGTGTTGTCCCGATTGTAATTGGAGCCCTTGGAGCAATACCCAAAGGGCTACGCTGCTATTTAGAAATTCTAAATTTGCCGGATTTGAACATTTTGACTCTACAAAAAACCACCTTACTCGGAACAGCTTACATCCTCCGACGATACCTTAACAGTTCCTAGGTCCTTGGTTAGGACTCGAGCTGCTGAGCTATTAACCAGCCTCAAAGGCTGTGAATCTCACTAAAGATTAACCAATAATAATAATAATAATAGTAATAATGAGGAAGAGGAGCGGGAAATTGAGTCAAGGCCATTGGTTAGCAGAGAGCCCATATTCTCCTTAGCTCACTGTGAAAGAGGTTGCAGCAATTACAGCTTCTTTTCAATATTTCCTGGAAGAACTATCCAAGTAATTGCATCAGGCTTCCAGGAATTGGAAAAATTAATTGCTCCCAACTCTGTAACAGCCAGCAACCGCTGATATTTCCAAGGAAATAGAAAATAGAGGATATTTCCAGGGAAAGTTGAGAGGGTCTGAAATCTTCCCCTTAACCCTGAACCTGGGGGGTGGGGGTGGAGGAGATGCCGCAGGTTTATCCTTGATGCTCTCTGAGCACAGTGGTTTTCTTGCAGACATTTTATGACCCAACTAGGGAACATCTTCAGTGCTAGGACCATGGAGGGGGGGAGGCAGGGGAGAACTGTGGAGTCCTTGGTGCTTTCTGAACTTGGTTGGTTTATTACAGACATTTCTTACCCAACTAGGGAACATCATCAGTGCAAGGAGGGAGTGGGGTTTGAGGAGGAGGAGGAGGAGGAGGAAGGAGGAAGGAAGAAGAAGAGGAGGAAGAAGGAGGAAGGAAGAAGGAAGAAGAAGAAGAAGAAAGAGGAGGAGGAGGAGGAAGGAGGAAGGAAGAAGGAAGAAGAAAAGAAGAAGAAGAAGGAAGAAGAAGAGGAGAAGAAGAGGAAGAAGAAGGAGAAGAAGAAGAAAGAAGAAGAAGAAGAAGAAGAAGAAAGAAGAAGAAGAAGAAGAAAAGAAGAGGAGGAGGAGGAGGAGGAGAGGAGGAGGAGGAAGGAAGGAAGGAAGGAAGGAGGAGGAAGGAAGGAAGGAAGAGGAAGAAGAAGAAGAAAAGAAGAAGAAGAAGAAGAAGAAGAAGAAGAAGAAGAAGAAGAAGAGAGGAGGAGAGGAGGAGGAGGAGGAGGAGGAGGAGAGGAGGAGGAGGAGGAGGAGGAGGAGGAGGAGGAGAAGGAGGAGGAAGAGGAAGAGGAAGAGGAAGAAGAAGATCAAGAAGGTCCTTGATATTCTCTGAGCTTGGTAGTTTTCTTTCAGGCCTTTCATGACCCAACTAGGGAACATGATCAGTGCTAGGAGGGAGTGAAGTATGCTCTCTATTTATATACTTGCCCTGTCAGTTTTGTTGTTTGTGTTCTTTACAATTTGATCCCAACATTTCTGTTGATAAGCGAGGGACTTGTTAAATGAATTTTGCCCCATTTAAGAACTTTTCTTGCCACAGTCGTTAAGTGAATCATGCATTTATTAAGTTAGTAACACAGTTGTTAAGTGAAACTGACTTCCCCATTGACTTTGGATCGTATTTTAAACTTCAGCTCTTCGTTTGCATTTTAAGCCATATATTTCCTTTCGTGTACACACAATGAATCCCAGCGCATCGGTATAAATGTTGTTTATATATTCACGAGAGGTAGACACGACTTGTTTTGGCACTTTTTTTTATATGCAACAGAAATAATGGTAGATCACAATTAGGAACATATCTGAGAAGATTTACATTAAGTTTGGCTTGTCCTAACATAGTTCAATCTGACATGGTACAAGTAGTCCTTGTCTTACGACCACAACTGAGCCCAAAATTTCAGTTGATAAGTGAGGCAGCTGTTAAGTGAATTTCCCCTCATTTTTACGACTTTTCTTGCCATCATTTTTAAGTGAATCCCTGTGGTTGGTAAGCTAATAGGGTTGTTAAATGAATTTGGCTTCCCCACTGAATTTACTTGTCAGAAGGATCACAAAAAGAGAATCACGTGACCCCGGGACACTTGCAACCGTCATAAATATGAGTCAGTTGCCAAAGCGTCGGAATTCTGATCATGTGACTGTGGGGATGCTGCAACGGCCTTAAGTGTGAAAAACAGTCATAAATCACTTTTTTTCAGTGCTGTTGTAACTTCAAACGGTCACTAAATGAACTGCTTGTAAGTCGCGGACTACTTGTACGTAAAAATTTGCAACGATTCAGAATTCCCCTTACATTCCGTTAAGCTGGCTGCCTACTTGTGGGAGGATCAAACCCGAATTTTAATTCAGTTTGACCCAGATCGATACGCCCAACTTGTGCCGAGTTCTAATCAAGCGATATGTTTTGAAGGTTAAATCAGCCACCGTTTTCTATGGAGGGCGGGGGGGGAAAGCCAGCAATACATTCAAGATATTCCAGATATTTTTACTTGGATTTTTTGGAACTTGCAAGGCAACTGTGAAATGGTCACAGTTTTAGTTGGTCTCCGTAGAAAATAAAGTTAGGAGATAAACATATGGATGTAAGAGAGATTCTTACAGTAAGATATGGCAGTGGTGTCTTAATACGTATAGCTTCGTTATCAAAGTAATTTTTTCTTCCACGGTTTGGACAACATGCTAAGGGGCCCACACATATGTACATGCTAAGCAAGAACTGGTTATTAGGCACTACGGTTCCAAGTGGCTCTGTTTAGTGTCTTGTGCGAATATATCATCTATAAGTGGTCATGAGTGAGCCAAGTCAAAGGGTGCTAAAAACATACAAGGAACGGTTGCAGGAACTGGATACGATTAGTCTAATAAAAAGAAGGATATTTGAGGGTCTGCCCCGAGAAAAGGGGGCCAACCTGTTCTCCAAAGCACCTGAAGGCAGGACAAGAATCAACAGGTGGAAACTAATCAAGGAGAAAAACCAATGTAGAACTAAGGAGAAATTTCATGACAGTTAGAACAATTAATCAGTGGAAGGACTTGCCTCCAGGAGCTGTGAATGCTCCAACATTGGAAGTTTTTAAGAAGATGTTGGACAACCATTTGTCTGAAATGGTACAAGGTTTCCTGCTTGAGCAGGGGGTTGGACTAGAAGGCCTCCAAGGTCCCTTCCTGTTCTGTATTCTGTTCTTGTGTGAAGGTATTTGATATTCTAGGGCTCCTGTTTCCAGAAGCTGGTACAAGTGAGGCTGCTTCTGAAAGGAAGAAGACAGGACACTATTCTTCGTTGCCTTAAGGAATCTGATTTGTTTGTTGGTCCAGATGAGGTCAGTTGAGGTCTCCCCCTCCATGGCAAGAAACCTTCTAAAGATAAGAGATCTTCAACAATCGAACAGGATGCCTTGGGTGGTGATTGGAAACCTGGAGGTGCTTCAGCAGGAAAAGGCATCTGTCTGGAAGGCTATAGTAGCGCTTTCCTGCATTGGGCAATAGGTTGGACTAGATGATCCTAGGGCAGTGATGGCTAACCTTTTTGCCATCCCGTACCAGGAAGGGGGGAGGCGGGGGAGGATTGCGCATGCGTGGGCCCACACCCATAATTCTATGTGCCCCACCACGCACATGTGAGTGTGGCCCCCTTCCCCCCCCACTCGTGGCACGCGATGGCCCGGTAGGCCCGTTTTTTTCTTTCTCACCTGGCTCCAGATCCTCCCTATGCATCTGGGGAGGGCGAAAACAGCCTTCCCCACCCCCTCGGAGGCAGGAAGTTGGGAAACGGGCTGTTTTGGGCCTCCGAGGGGGTGGGGAAGGCTGTTTTCGCCCTCCCCAGATGCATAGAGAGGATCTGGAGCCAGGGAGAAGGAAAAACAGGCCTCCCCCCCCCCAGGCCCTCTTCTGGTGGTCCCAAAGGGACCGAAAATCAACAGACGGAGCTGAGCTGGAGTGCCAGGCAACATGGCTCTGCGTGCCACCTGTGGCACGCATGCCATAGGTTCGCCATCATAGTCCTAGGGGGTCTCATTTAACATTTAATGATTCCAGGACTGGTAACTACACCGTCATCCTGGAGAAGGCTTACCTATTGTATGTCAGTCTTTGTCAAACTTTAAGATGGATGGACTTTAAGTTGGGTGGACTTCAACTCCCAGAATTCCCTAGCCGCGTGCCTTAACAGATATGGACTTCAACTCTTAGCTGGGGAATTCTGGGAGTCGAAGTTCACACATGATGGCTGGAGAATTCTGGGAGTTGAAGTCCACCCAGCTAACAGTTGCCAAAGCTGAGAAGTACTCTGTGTCGCTATTATGTACTCTATGTCGCTCTATGTCATAGTACTCTATTCATACAGTACTATGTCGTACTCTATGTCGCCATTATGAGTCAACACTCATTTGAGGGCATAAAATCAAAATACATCTATACAAAGACGTGTGTGTGTGTGTGTGTATACTCTATTCTTTACCGATGGGGGGAAATATTTATTTTCCTAATATCTCCAAATAGCCCAGATTCTCTAGAAAACTCTACCAATTTTATTTTCTTCCATTGACTTTCTCTACTTTTAAAAACTGGGTCTTAGTCTCTAAGATCAAGGCATTGCCCTTCCTTTACTTTCTCTCTCTCTCTCTCTCTCTCTGGATAACATTTTTATTCCCTGCTGCAGGTAGGCTCTTCCTATCATTCTAGGCTGAAATAATACAAAAATAATCTTTTTTTTTTTCTCAAGGCACCTATCCCTTTGGCTCCAGAACAAAAATACAAGGCTCCAGAAACATCTCCCTTCCATTCTCCCAAAATACTCTCTCCCCTCCCCCCACCCAGTTTAGAAATTTGGAGAGGGGGAAAAAAAATAAAAAAACACAGAAGGAAACTCATTCTGGCTTACAAAACAAAAACAAAGACATTTGGAAAAATGGCAGGTCGTTTTAGAAAGAGTCTATAATACTGATCAAACAGATGCAGGTGTAAAAAAAAAAAAGAGTACACTTTCAGAAATGAGTGCCTCCTTGGCTTCTCCGAGCTCCCTCTTCCTTTTATTTCGGTTTCATCTCTACTCGCGAGTCGTCGGCGTCCAGATCGTATTCTTCCACGTTGCCGGTAGTCCAAACCTTCATGCGGTCTGTGATCTCGCTGCTTCGTGGTGCCAGGATGAACTCGTAGATGAGAGCCGCGGTGGCACCCCCCAAAAGGGGGCCAACCCAAAAGACCTGGAATTCAACACAAAGAAAGCGCTGACCGATACAGATGTGTGACTGACACCCAGGTTGGGAGAGCTGCCCAGCTGTCAATGAATCGCTACCCCGTGTGTTCCCCTCAATGCATGCTGGATGCTCTCTACCCCAAAGGATACAAGAGAATATTTGGAGCTCGGGGTTGAACGGTGGAGTCCTTAGTGCTCTCTGAGCTTGGTTATTTTCCTGAAGATGTTTAATGACCCAACTAAGTAACACCATCAGTGCTAGAAGGGGGGGTTATAGGGAGGAGGAGGAGGAGGAGGAGGAGGAGGAGGAGGGGGAGGAGGAGGAGGAGGAGAAGGAGGAGGAGGAGGAGGAGGAGGAGGAGGAGGAGGAGGGAAGGATGGAGGAGGGGGAGGGAGGAGGAGGAGGAGGAGGAGGAGGAGGAGGAGGAGGAGGAGGAGGAGGAGGAGGAGGAGGAGGAGGAGGAGGAGGAGGACTGTGGGGTTCTTACTGCTCTCTGAGCTTGGTTATTTTCCTGAAGATGTTTAATGACTCAACTAAGTAACACCATCAGTGCTAGAAGGGGGGGTTACAGGAGGAGGAGGAGGAGGAGGAGGAGGAGGGAGGAGGAGGGGAGGAGGAGGAGGAGGAGGAGGAGGAGGAGGAGGAGGAGGAGGACGACTGTGGGGAGGAGCTGGATTTTCCTGGAGAAGTTTAATGACCCAACTAAGTAACACCATCGTGCTAGGGGAGTGGGATTGTAGCTTCTAGCATGATACTGTTACCTAGTTGGGTCATGAAAACGTTTCAAGAAAAGAACCAAGCTCAGAGGCACCAATAAGTCACAGTTTCCTCCTCTTCCTCCTCCTCCTCCTCCTCCTCTCCTCTCTTCAAACCTCACTCCTCCAAGCACTGATGATGTTACCTAGTTGGGTCACGGAAACGTCTTCAAGAAAAGAACCAAGCTCAGAGGGCACCAATAATGTCACAGTTTCCTCCTTTTCTTCCTCTTCCTCCTCCTCCTCCTCTCTGCAAACCCCACCCCCTCCAAACAGTGATGATGTTACTAGCTGAGTGACGAAACGTCGGCAAGAAAATCATTAGGGAACTTGCAAAATGACTACACCGACAGTCCTCAACTTACAGCCGTTCATTTCGTGCGTTTTTGAAGTCACAGTGGCTCTGGAAGAAAGGACAGAGGACCGGTCCTCGCCCTTACAACCGGTCCTCACACTTACGCACTTGCACCATGATCCTCCCAGTAAAGTTCAACGTTCGGCAACCGATATGCCACCTGCTTTAGAAGCAGAAAGAACTTCAGCGGACGGACTTCTCACCTGAAGTTTGGGGTGATGGCTGCCAGCAATGTTGTGTGTCCATACGTGTGTGTGTTTGTTTGTGTGTGTGTGTGTGTGTAAACCATTGCTGGACATTTGAAGGGGAGCCCCTCTGACGATTCCTTCTGTTTTTAGAATGCTTCTCTCTGTGTTTTCCTTAGCTCACCGTTAGTTTCTGCCGTTTCCCCCCGTTTTATCCTGAAGTGACACCCAGCAGCTGAAATGTAATTTTCATGAAATGCTTCGCTCCAACCGCAGGATTCTCAGTTTAGCCCTTATCACGAGGCCCACGTCCGGCTTGCGATTTTGATCGGAAACCTACCCAGTGATCGGCGAAGTTAGTGGTCACCAAAGCAGATCCGAAAGAGCGTGCGGGGTTGATGCCACAACCGGTGTAATCAATCTGTGAGAAGCAAAGAGAGGGAGATTTGATTAGCTGGAGCCGTGCCTGCAGACCAACGTAAGTCATTTCTGCAAGAATTGTTTAGGGACTTCCGTGCGACATAGGAGAGAGAGCTGAGTTTCCAACTTTTAAAAATCACGGGCGGTTCAGGCGGGGTGGATGGCGGCACAATTCTGAGGGTGGTTTGACTTGATAAGGCCTCATTTGGAATATCTGCATCCAGTTTTGCTCGCCAAGATGTAAAAAAAGAGGTTGAGACTCTGGGAAGAGTGCAGCAAAGAGCCACAAAGGTAATTAGGGGACTGCAGCAGGGGTGAAATGCTACCGGTTCAGACCGGTTCAGGTGCACCGGTAGCGATGGCGGCGGGTGGTTCGGAGAACCGGTAGTGATGGTGGCGCGAGGCTCCTCCCACCCATCCGGTTGTCGTTACTTCCTGGTTTTAACCAGGAAGTAACCTGTTTTTTACCCTCTGCGCATGTGCAGAAGGGTTTGCGTGTGTACAGAGGGTCCACGCATGCATGTGTCTCACACACGGGGTGTGTGCACTTCTGAACCAGTAGGGAAGGTAGATGTCAGCGTTCCAAATTAGGCTCTCTTCCAGCGCTGACATGAACAAGATGAAGCATAGAGCAGAAGCTCTATGTAGAGATGGATCTGCATGATGGCCAATGGGACATTGGGGTTGGAGAGCGGAAGAGGAGGGGGTTGGAAGGAGGGCCCAGTTTGGCTGCAACTTGAATCAGGAATGTCAGATTCTGCTATTCTTAAAATAAAAGTGATTCATTAGAGACTTTGCGCTTGAGAATGAAGTTTATTTAAGATAGCACCGAAACCTGACAGTAAGTAGATTTCACCCCTGGACTGGAGGCTGAAACATATGAAGAACGGTTGCAGGAACTGGGCATGTCTATTCAGGGGTCGGCAACCTTAAACACTCAAAGATCCATTTGGACCTGTTACCCACAGAAAAGAAAACAACGGGAGCCACAAAACCCTTCCCGTGCCTGACTATTTCCTAAATGGCCACAAAACTAGCATATATATATAGATGAATTAAACATTCTGTTTTCTTCTGAAACTTTCTTTTCTTGGATTTATCCATGGCTGGCCTACTGGGAGTCGAAAAGCTCAATAAATCACGTGCCGGCAGGTGTCACACATTGGTGGTTGTGATGCATATTTTGAACGAGAGGGAGCCACAGCAGAGGGATGAAAGAGCCACATGCGGCTCCAGAGCTGCGGGTTGCTGACTCCTCGTCTAGTTTAATGAAAAGAAGGACTCGGGGTGACCTGATAGCAATGTTCCAGTATTTGAGGGGCTGCCCCAAAGAAGAGGGGGGGTCAATCTATCCTCCAAAGCACCTGAAGGCAGAACGAGAAACAATGGATGGAAACTAATCAAGGAGAGAAGCAACCTGAAACTAAGGAGAACTTTCCTGACATGAGAACTATTAACCAGTGGAACAGCTTATCTCCAGAGGTTGTGGATGCTCCAATACTGGAGGTTTTTAAAAAGAGACTGGACAGCCATTTGGCCCTCCTGTTTGAGCAGAAGGTTGGTATCAAGGTTGGCCTTGATGACCTCCAAGGTCCCTACCAACTTTAATTCTCTTCTCTAAAGCCAGGGGTGGAATTTGACCAGTTCAGACCGGTTCGCGTGAACTGGTAGGGACGATTTGAATCGGTTCGCCGAACCAGTAAAATCACCCCTGGTTGGCCCCGCCCACGCTCACCCGCTCGCCCGGTCGCCATTCACCTCTTCCAGCCGCTCTCTGTTCGCCCCTTGCAGCCGGTCACCACTTGCCCCTTCTGGCCGTCGCCCCCCTCCCTTCGCCACGCGGCCCAGCTAATCGCCTTGCCAATGCCCACTCAGCTCACTGCATCACTTAGTTACTTCACCAACCCCTGCTCAGTGCCTCACTCAGTAGCCTCGCTGATGCCCACTCAAGGTAAGCAGTGCCGGTTGCAACCTAGCGTGCCACCCCCACCACCCGGTCTCACATAGTTCGTGACACCGGTGGTGATCGGCTGTGGCCTAGCCTGACGCCCCCCACCTCCCGGTACCCGGGCTCGTCTGGTTGGCTAAGCCACCTCAGCTCCATCCCAGGCGGGTCTCGCTAACTAAACTAACCCAACTTCCCCCCCAGCTTCCAGTTTGCTTACCTAGTTCACTCCCGAACCGAATCCCGAGCCGCTGGACACAGACACACCTGTCTTGCTTCACCTGCTGCAATCGCCTGCATCCGCCTCATTGGCGAGCAACTGAATCTGCCTGCCTGCCTTGTGCCTTTAATTGAGTGGCTTTTTTTGTTTTTGTTTTGGCTTTAAAAAAATAGTTAATTAGTGGGGCTTTTTAAAAGGAAATTTTATTGTTTTTTAAGGAAATAGCCATATAAAATTTAGGAAATTTTAGCTGCTTTTATATTTTTGGATTTGTGCAGCTTTGTGAGATCTTGTGTGTTTCTGTGGTGTTCACTACAAAAACACACAAAATCTCACAAAGCTGCACAGATCTAAAAATATAGCTTTCCTAGGGGAAAGCCGTTTTGATCCTTTTGGTCTTTTGATCTTTTTTTTTTTTTTTACTCTTTTGGTGTTTTGATCACTGTGTGATGATTGTTTTTTTAAGTTGTGCGATTTTGTGGAGGTTGCTGCAAGCAGCAACAAGGGACATTTTACGTGAAGTCCAGCCGCTTTTACATGGTGTGAGAGAAGTTGTGAGGCTTTGTGTGATTTTGTGTGTAAAGTGTGATACTTGGTTTTTGAGCCTCTGCAATTGTGTGAGGTTCGAGGGACATTTTACGTGAAGTCCAGCCGCTGTGTGAGACAAGTTGTGTGGCTTCTGTATTTCAGTGGCTTTGTCTTTCCTGTTCTTGAGGTTGGGGGGAAAAACTGGTTTTATCGGCAGCCTTTTGGGGGGAAACTGTGAAGGTTTTTGTAGGTCCTTAGGGCAAAGATGTGATGCCGACTTGGCCACGCCCACCCACCCAGTTAAATGGCCACCAAGCCACACCCACCAAGCCACGCCCAAAGAACCGTTAGGGAAAAAAATTTGAATTTCACCTGAGGGCAGGACAAGAAGCAATGGGTGGAAACTAATCAAGGAGAGAAGCAACTTAGAACTAAGGAGAAATTTGCTGACAGTTAAAACAATTAATCAGTGGAACTACTTGCATACAAAAGTTGTGAATGCTCCAACACTGGAAGTTTTTAAGAAGAGACTAGACAGCCATTTGTCTGAAATGGGATAGGATCTCCAGCCTGAGCAGGGGGTTGGACTAGAAGACCTCCAAGGTCCCTTCCACCTCTGTAATTCTGTTATTCTATGCACTGATTTGCTTTCCAATTTGAGGACATGTTAATATCTTCCTTATTCCTTGGAAAACATTGCGAAGGGCTGTGATAAATGAGGCATTCTGAAAAAACGAATCAGGTTTGTGCCTCGATGAAATGCCCATGTTTATATTTATGGTCCTGTCTTGTAGACACAAAAGCTGCCTGGGTGACTTGGGACCAATTGCAAGGAGACTGGGAGTTCTAGTCCTACCTTAGGCACAAAGCTAACTGGGTGACTTTAAGCCAATCAGGAGGAGGTGGTGAGTTCTAGTCCCACCTTTGGCACGAAAGCCAACTGGCTGACTTTAAGCCAATCACCAGGAGACGGTGAGTTCTAGTCCTACCTTAGGCACGAAAGCTAACTGGCTGACTTTAAGCCAATCACCAGGAGACGGTGAGTTCTAGTCCTAACTTAGGCACGAAAGCTAACTGGGTGACTTTAAGCCAATCACCAGGAGACGGTGAGTTCTAGTCCCACCTTAGGCACGAAAGCCAACTTGGGTGACTTTAAGCCAATCACCAGGAGACGGTGAGTTCTAGTCCTACCTTAGGCATGAAAGCCAACTGGGTGATATGAACCAGCCCTTCTCTCACAGTCCAACCTATCCTCAAAAGGTTGTTTTCATTGTGAGGAAAATAGAAGGAGGAAAGGTATTAGATTAATTTGCTGCGTTGAGTTACTTGCAGAAATAACAAAGGCAGGATAAAAATAAATAATATCTCTTTCTCATCTTTCATTTATGTTTATGTACTGTATGCACTGTGTGTGTGTGTGTGTGTGTAAAACATCTTTGGGGTGGGGGTGTATTTTACAGAGATGGGGCCACCTAATTACATACACATAGCTCAATGTATGGAAAACAAGATAGGGCAAACTATGATTGATTGATTGATTGATTGAACACCTTAATGGAGATGTGGTGTGTGAAACGCGCCAGGGAGAAAATGAGCAGTGGCTAGAAATATATATATATATATATATATTCTTTTAATTCATAGGTTCAAATGTATAATACTTTTGTAGTCAGGGTTTTTTCCTATGTAGATCAAGTTGTTAAATATATATATATGTCTCCCAGAACATCTCATGTACAGAAGAATTAAAACGGTGTGTTGACTCTGCCCAGATCAGCAAAACACACCTGTTCTCTTGGTGTGTCCAAGATGGAACTATTCCATGGTCAGACTCAGAGGTGGGTTGCAGCAGGTTCTGTCCAGTTCTGGAGAACCGGTAGCGGAAATTTTGAGTAGTTCAGAGAACCGGTAGTAAAAATTGTGACTGGCCCTGCCCCCATTTATTCTCTGCCTCCCAAGTCCCAGCTGATTGGGAGGAAATGGGGATTTTGCAGTAACCTTCCCCTGGGGGGGGGGGAATGGAGATTTTACAGTATCCTTCCCCTGCCGCGCCCACCAAGCCACACCACCCCCGCCATGCCATACCCACAGAACCAAGCTTGGAGACCTCTGGACTAGAGACCAGAGAATTGGAAGAAAAGAGGGCAGAAGACATGAAGGAAGGGGAGGGAAAAGAACGAATAGAGAATGGAGGGATGAGATGAAGTGATAGACATAACAACTGTAGGTTCCTCACCCAAGAAGAGGTGAGGAAAAGGAAGATAAGGGCAGAAGCTTTCAATCAGTTGGTATGCTGTGGTTGAATTCAACCATGGCACTATCAGTACAGGTAGTCCTCGACATACGGCCACAACTGAGCCCCATTACTAAAAGACAGTTGTTAACTGAGTTTTGCCTCACTTTATGACCTTTCTCACTGCAGTTGTTAAGTGAGTGTCTGCAGTTGTGGAGTGAAACTCACCGGGCGTTAAATGAATCCAGCTTCTCCATTAACTTTGCTGATCAGAAGATTGGGACACTACAACCGTCATAAATATCATAATACAGGTAGTCCTCGACTTACAACCACAATTGAGCCCAACATTGCTGTTGTCAAGTGAGACAGTTGTTAAGTGAATTTTGTCCCATTTTCCCTGCTTCGTTGCCACAGTTGTTAAATGAATCATTGGTTAAGTCAGTAATACGGTTGTTAAGTGAATCTGGCTTCCCTCATCGACTTGGTTTGTCAGAAGGTCGCAAAAACGGATCACACGATCCCAGGACATTGCAACTGTCATAAATATGAGCCTGTTGCCAAGTGACTAAATTTAGGGCTCAATTATGGTTGTAAATTGAGGACTACCTAAGTGGATGAAAAATATTCCCTTGCCAATCTATTCAGGCCAGGCCAACCCAGCTGTTTTGGGGTGGTCTGGCACTTTTTTAAAAGCCAATCTTCTGGAACAGGAAGTGGTTTGGGAGAGCCAACTTGACATGCTCCAAATCCTTCAATTGTGGTCTGGAGAAAGGATGGAAAGTTCTGGAGTCCCCCGGAATAGGCTGTTCCAAAAATTGAATTTTTCACAGATCTATCATAGAGGCAGAATATGATCTGTAACTGAGATAAACAGGATTAATCCAAGATATTTTCCTACCTGTCTTTAAAAAATCAACATTGGATGGTGTGTGCTCTCCATTCCAGGAATAAAGATGGGCTTAGATGTTGAAGGTTTGTGGGAATCTTGACAACACAAGAACTTTTTCTTAAAGAACGACACATTCTAGGGACAAGTTTGGGGGCTTCCTCTAGGAATAGTCCTTTATCTATATCTATACCTGCCTCCACAGGTATAGTTGGGTGTCTTAAATGATATAAAGATACATCTTCTCCATTATCTAGATCATTCTCCAACCCTTCAAGTAGAGACATCAAAAAAACTTTCATGTTGACAGGTTCTATCATCAACAGAAGAGAATATTGGTAGCTCAAGGTTGAACTGTGGGTTGGTAGATTCTTGCAGACGTTTCATGACCCAAGTAGAGAACATCATCAGGGCTAGAAGAGAATAGGTTTTGAGGAAGGGAAGAGGAAGAGGAGGAGGAGAGGGGGAAGGTGGAGTAGGAAGAGGAAGAGGAGGAGAATTGTGCGGTCCTTGGTGGTCTCTGAGCTTGGTGGTTTTCTTGCAGATATTTCATTACCCAACTAGGGAACATCATCAGTGCCAGAAGGGAATAGAGTTTGGGGAAGGGAGCAGGAAGAGGAGGAGGGGGAGGAAGGTAGAGGAGGAAGAGGAGGAGGATTGTGGGGTCCTTGGTTCTCTCCGAGCTTGGTTGTTTTCTTGGAGACGTTTCATAACCCAGCGTTGTCAGTTCTAGATGGATAAATTCTATCCTGCCATTGCAACAGCCATCTTGATTTTTCTGACATTTCTCCTGGCTGTACGCTGACCGCTTTGCATTGCCTTTTGCAAAATCTACCAAATTTGCATTTAATTAGATTAGAATATGAGTAGATCTTCAAGTTTTCCTTTCCGCCCCATTCAGAATGGGGTTGGCCTGGAAGACTTCTGAAGTATGGAAGATCTTTGCATCTCTGGAGGTAAATGTTTCATTACCTGAATTAGATAACATCATTAATGCTGGTGAGTGTGGGGTTTGCTCATCAGCACTACTGTATATAAAGATGCTAGCTACTAATAATGTAGCTGAATGAATAATGAAATGTCTACAAGAAGGCAGTCGAGTTCAGACAGTATCAAGGACTCCACAGTCATTATCCTCCTCCTCCTTCTCCTCCTCCTCCTCCTCCTCCTCCTCCTCCACAAACCCCACTCTCTTCTAGCACTGTTCATGTTCCCTAGTTGGGTCATGAAACGTCTTCAAGAAAACCACCAAGCTCAGAGAGTATCAAAGACCGCCACACTTCCTCCTCCTCTTCCTCTTCCTTCTCTACCTTCCTCCCCCTCCTCCTCTTCCTCATCCCTTCCCCAAACCCACCCCTTCTAGCCCTGATGATGTTCCCTACTTGGGTCACGAAACGTCTGCAAGAAAACCACCAAGTTCGGAGAGAACCAAGAACCTCAGCTACAAATATTCTCTTTTGGGGGTGGGGGGTAACCTTTTCAAATACTGTGTCAGCCCCCACCAAGTTAAACCAAATCAGAAATCAATTCCACAGTTGAAAGCTGTAGATCATGTTGATTGAGAGTGGATACTGTAATTGAATCTTGCAAGCCCGTGCTGTATCTTCTTCTCCTCTCTTTATACTTAAATTGTTGAATTATTGTGATGTCAGTATGAGCTATATCCTTTCTGCTTGTTTTGGAACTTCAGATATGTTTTGACTTCTGTCACTTTGGTAACCTGGTCTGGCCTAAGTTAGGGTTTTACTTAATGTGGTACAGAACTCAGACAGGACTTCATTTTTCCATACAACACTGTTACAAGTTCAAAATATAATTTTCTACCTCATTCTATTTTCCATCAATTTCTATTCTTATTTAACCTATTCCTTTTTCTATCCTCATGTTCTATTTCTATGTCCTTATTCCTTTGTGTATAAATCTTACGGGTGTTTTTTTTAAAAAATCTTAACTATTTCTTAGCTCTTAGGTTTTTTTTTCCCTTTTAATCTTCCTCTTCTCTATGTTCTTATTCCCGTGGGTATAAATGGCATGACTTTTTAAATTATTTCTTACTTCTTTATACGTTTTCTATTTTCAATGTTCTTATTCTTGTATGTATAAATCTTAAATTTTTAAAATCTTAGTTTTTTAAAAAATCTTTTCTATGTCTGTAGTCCTATGTGTATAAATCATGTTTTTTTTCTTATTTATTAGCTCTTAGTTTTTTTAAAAAAAAATCCTATTTTCTGTGTTCATGTTCCTGTGTGTATAAATCTCATTTTTCCCTTTATCTTAACTATTTCTTGCTATTGTTTTTATTTTCCTCTTCTCTATGTTCTTATTTCTATGTGTATAAATCTTATGGTTATTTATTTTTTTTAACCTCAATTATTTCTTAGTTCTTTCAAATTTTTCTTCTTTATGTTCTTAAAGAAGATGTATAAATCTTACGTTGTTTTTAATCTTTACCTCTTAGCTCTTAGTTTTTTTAAAAAAATTCTTCTTTTCAATACACTAATCCTATTATGTATAAATCTTACAGGTTTTTTATTTTAACTATTTCTTAGCTCTTTTTTTTATTTATTTTTCTTCTTTTCAATGCACATAATGTATAAATCTTACAGGTTTTTTATTTTAACTATTTCTTCATTTTTTTTAAAAAAAAAATCCTCTCTTCTATATTCTTATTTATCTGTACGTAAATCTTATTTTTAAAAAATAATCTTATGGCCAAATTCATACAATTTGCATAACCATGTGTATGAAAGCCTAGAATTGCAATGGGGAACCTATGGCATGAGTGCCAGAGTTCGCACTCAGAGCCCTCTCTGTGGCACTTGCACCGTCCCCCCCAGCTGGTTGTCGGGTTTCTGGTGCTCTGGCACACGCATGTGTATATGCGCACATATATGTGCCACCTTTCAGTTTGGGCACTCTGTGCCTAAAAGATTTGCCATCACTGGCCTAGAGACTACCTTAACATAATGTATGTTGACTATGATCAGATTTTATGGGCTTAATGTATGAAATAAATCCAGCATAGTTGGTTAATTTATGATTCAGTATATTGCATTAACCCAGAAAATGGGTTAAATCCAATAACAAGGTTACAGATAGTCCTCGACTTACAACTGTCACACAACCTGTGCATTATGGTTATATGCCTTAACTGTTGTAAAACAGGTCAGTCACGTGAAGCACTGCAGTTTTTAAATTAGTAGCAGCGTTGTTAAGTGAATCTGGCTTCCCCATTGACTTTGCTCGTCAGAAGGTCACAAAACACGACCCCTGGACACTGCAACTGTCATAAATGCGAGTCAGTTGCCAAGTATCGAACTTTTGATCACGTGACCCTGAAGGTGTCGCCATGGTGTGAAAAGGGTCACTTTTTTCAACGCCGTTGTAACTTAAAAAAGTTGCTAAACAAATAGTTGTAAGTTGAGGAATATTTGTAAGAATAGAGATCTGAGGACCCAGATTGTTGGGGGCCATAGGCTGACTCTGTAAACCGCTTAGAGAGGGCTGTAAAATCACTGTGAAGCGGTATATAAGTCTAAGCGCTATTGCTGTCTAAACTGTGGCGGCACGATGGTTAGACTGCAGTATTGCAGGCTGACTCTGCCCACAGCCAGGAGTTCAATCCTGACCGGCTCAAGGTTGACTCAGCCTTCCATCCTTCCGAGGTGAGTAAAATGAGGACCCAGATCGTTGGGGGCAATAGGCTGACTCTGTAAATCGCTTAGAGAGGGCTGTATATGAGTCTAAGTGCTATTATGGTTTAGTAAATGTGCCAATACAGCTCTTGAATTCGTACTCACTGCCAGGAGATGACCCAAAGCTACAGAAAGACCGATGGCCAGTGGTGCTGATCCGGAGAGGTCCGTTCGCCTCTTGTCCGTTGTGGCGAGCACACAAAGCACCAGCTGCAACGTAGCAATGATTTCGATGCCCAGGCCTTGTCCAGGGTTGACTCCCGGTGCCAACTGCAAAAGAACAAGACAGCAAAGAGAAGGAATCAGAGCTGTGCACCAGAATTGGACCCTGGTTCAATTAATGGCCTCGAGAGCCACTTAACAACCTCTGCAAAAAAAGGTCCTAAAATCGGGATGGACACCTGATCAGACCGACCTGTTTTACAACCATCATGACTCTATTACGGTCCTATGTCCGAGACAACCTGAACTGCTTTGTCTCCAATACAGTTGTGTGTTTTAATGACACTGCATTCCCCTCCCTTATGTTTTATAGCTCCAAGCAACGTAATAAATAAGCCGATTCAAGAGTCAGAAGCCAAAATTCGATGCCATTTCCAAAGAGGAAGATTTGTTTAAACTTAGAGTAGGGTAGGAAGTTAGCACCCACCCCTTTCCTAGGAAAATGAGATATTTTAGGAGATATTAAAAGGGCAGAATATTTCCCCTAAAAGGGAGGCAGAAACTCACCCCACCACCACCACTTTGTCAATGGGCCATTAAGGCCTGGGCCAGTCTATTCTACATAACACAGATCTACCTCCTTCTGGCAGAGCCATAGTAGGAATTGCCCAAAGCCCCTTTCGTTACATCATTACCCAGCAAGGCTCAACCAAGCCTGGGACTCAAAAAGATAACCTACAAAATTACCCCTGCATGGCCCCATGGGAGTCTGACAACCAATCAGAATACAAGCTCAAATTCAAAGCTTGAAAGAAGGCATAAAACCCAGGCACTCTCAACATCTCTTCCTTTTTTTCAAGCCATGTGATCCTGTTCCTCAATAAACCTTCTTTCCAAGCAACTTCCATGAATCCAGTGTCTTTTTCCCCACTTGGAACCGAACCCAGATGGACATTTCTTCCAACAGTACATTTACAACCATTCCAGTGGTGGGATTCAAATTTTTTTTACTACCGGTTCTGTGGGTGTAGCTTGGTGGGCGTGGCATGGCATGGTGGGTACGGCTTGGTGGGCGTGGCAGGGGAAGGATATTGCAAAATCCCCATTCCCTCCTGATCAGCTGGGACTCGGGAGGCAAAGAATAGATGGGGCAGGGCCAGTCAGAATTTTTACTACCGGTTCTCCAAACTACTCAAAATTTCCACTACTGGTTCTCCAGAACTGGTCAGAACCTGCTGAAACCCACCTCTGAACCATTCATTTACTGACTTCTATATTGGCGGTCCCCAACCCTTGCCCTGTGATGGGGGTGGGGGGATGGATTCACACATTCGACTGGATTCGACTGATGACCCCCAGCGGGAGAGCCCTCTCTGTGGGGGCACCCGCCCTCTGGAATGAGCTACCCCCAGGAATACGACTGATCTCGGACCTCCGTACTTTCCATCGAGCTTTGAAGAGCTTTGTCAGCGCCTCAGCGCTGGCATAGAGAGGAGAGATAAGCTCTGAACTTTTGCCTGCTAAATCCCTTTGAAGCCCGGTCGTCATGGAAATGAGGAGGGGGGAGACATTCCTGTGAAATGACGAGACAAGAAGTTTGGAAAGTGACTTGGAAGATAGCCAATGAGAAGCAGAGAATTGGGGATCGGAAAGGGAGGGATTGGGGGGCAAAAGGTCAGTCTTGTCCGCATCGAGTCATGATCCGGTTGCTGTGCTCGAATAAAGAAAAGATTTCCTTAAAGATTGGCAGTTTGGAAATTCATTTATTTTGAGATAGCATCGAAGTCTGACAACCTTCCTATTTCAGCAAGCCAGGCTGACTTAAATTTTTAATGGGTTATTTTATGGCCAAAGGGTTTTAAATTTTGGGAAGCCAATTTGATTTGATTCTGTTTTAATTTATTTTAATTTTTATATTGCATGTATTTTAATCTTGGCTGTTCACCGCCCTGAGTCCTTCGGGAGAAGAGCGGTATACAAATTTAATAAACCTAAACCTAAACCTAACATGCAACTTAGATTCTGGGCGTGTGCAAATGAAGCTTCACACACTCGCCTGCCACATACATGGACCAGTTCCCAATAGGCCCGCAGACCGATATCGATCCACACAGACTGGGAGTTGAGTGAGTATCCCTGTTCTACATAGACAGAAAAATCCATTTTGTGTCGCTTTGAGCAAGTGTGAAATGAATTAACGGGATTACACAGTTTTGTGGGCATCCTCCTTGTGATCCAAACTGGCTATCTGTTTTGGGTTTTTTTTGTTGTTGTTGTTGTTGATGATGTTTTGAGTTTCTCTCTCTGGAGCAAATGTCATTGCCAAACGTCTCCAGATGGTCTTTTGATGACCTTTCAAAAAAGCCTTGCCCAACGTTTCTGGGTCGGTGGCCCGGCGCGGAAGGGGGGAAGTGGAATGGTTTTGTGTGAGGGGCAGGCATGGGGGCATGTGCACACAGCTTCATTTGTGTGAGTGGCAGGCACACAAGTGGGGCTGCGAGTGCCAGTGCCCACCACACACGTGAGTGGGACTGCATGGGTACACACACTAACTTGCCCTCACCTGGCCCAGGTCCGAGTGGGCTACAGCCCAGTAGTGGGCCAAGACCTAGGGGTTGGAGACCCCGGTCAAAAACAATCTCACTGTAGGATGGATCTGCAAATTCACAAAGGAACAAAGGGTCAGATCCCTTTATTAAGAATCACTTTTGTCTTACTCAGCATTAAGAGAATGAAAAGAGATAATGGGAGAGATTTGTAGGTTTCAGGCAAGGGTGAAATCCAGCAGGTTCTAACAGGTTCTGGAGAACCGGTAGCGGAAATTTTAAGTAGTTCAGAGAACCGGCAAATACCACCTCTGGCTGGCCCCCAAGTGGGGTGGGAACGGAGATTTTGCAATATCCTTCTCCCAGGAGTGGGGAGGGAATGGGGATTATGCAGTATCCTTCCCCTGCCACACCCACCAAGCCACACCTACCAAGCCACACCACCCCCACCAAGCCACGCCTACAGAACTGGTAGTAAAAAAAATTGGATTTCACCACTGGTTTCAGGTAACTTCTAAGTAGTTGCTGAGAACTGGACAATGGATAATAATATGGAGGAGAAGGGCGGGAGAGGAGGGAGCAGTGGTGGGATTCAGCCGGTTTGCACCACTTCGGGAGAACCGGTTGTTAACTTTCTGAGCAGTTTGGTGAACTGGTTGTTGGAAGAAGTCATTAGGGCAGAGAACCGGTTGTTAAATTATTTGAATCCCACCACTGGGAGGGAGGGAGGGAGAGAAGGGAGGAAGGAGGGGGAGGGAGGGAGGGAAGGAAGGAAAGGGAGGGCAGGAGGAAGGAAGGAAGAAGGAAGGAAGAAGGAAGGAAGGAAGGAAGGAAGGAAGGAAGGAAGGGGGGAGAAGAAGGAGGAGCTAAAGGAGGAGGAGAAGGGGAAGAGGAAGAGATTATAAATGCAATCAATGACTATAATTTTACTATATTTTGATGGAAACAAGCATTTTACTTCTAGTATCCGGCAAAATGCTCCATAGTGAACAAGGGTTTTGCCTAACAACAGTGGGATTCACTTAGCAACCATCCTGTTCACTTTACGACCATCACAGAAAAAGGTTATAAAATCGGACTTGTCACATAGCGACCTCCTTTACAACTGTTACGATTTACGACTGAAATTACCGGCAATTACATTCATAAGATGAAGGACTGCTTGTATGCATTATTATGTGTGGTTTTTTAAATCTTCACAGACTGGCTTCTCTGAACTGACAAAAATATAAACATTAAAATCATGAAACTAGGGGGGATATTAAGTTATAATAGAGAAATGTGCCATGGATCTATAACAGAGACCCTATCCGGAGGAGAAAAATATCACAAATTTCAAAGACACGCCCTACTCGTAACAAAGTAAACACTTGTGGAAATAACAGAGTTGTGCAAGGCTTTGCACAATGAAGGGAAGGTGCAGAAACTCCAAACACTCCATGCAAAAAAAGGATTGGGCGTTCCGTCAGAAGAGTGTGGCTTCCATCTTCACTTTTTTGATCCCCTGCCTCCCACAAATACTCATGCCTGGCAAAAAGAACCTTCCTGCGTCCTCCCATTGGTGCCCTGGGAATGTCTGAACTATCATCAAAAAACCAGCTTGGGCGTTTTCTCACAGAGGAAACCACGGCATGGAAAAAGAAATGGTCCATCCAAATAGATCTAGGCTGCAATATTCCAGATTGTCACCAGGAGGAGACAAAGAGCTGGTGGGAAATCATTTAAACTTTGACTGCCATCTAGTGGTCCTCTGAAGTATCGGCAGCCTAGCTCTCTTTGAGGAAAAAAAGAAACAATCCGTGAATTTTATTTTATTTATTTTGATCCCACTTTTATTGTGGTGAGGTGGGTGGCGGACAAATTTAAATAAATTAATAACAATAACAAATAATAACAATATAAATAAATAAATAAAGGACAAATAAATAATTTTTGTAAATAATTCAAGGTGGTAAAACATGCCTAATACTCATCCCATCTCCTTTTTTTTCCCACAACAACCATGTGAGGTGGGATGGGCTGAGAGAAGAAAGAAAGAGAGAGAGAGATGATTGGGCCCCAAGTCACCCAACTGGCTTTCATGCCTGAGGCGTGACTAGAAATCACCATCTCTTGGTGATTGGCCTAGAGCAGTGATGGCTAACTTTTTGCCATGCGTGCCAGGAGAAGGGGGGTGGGGGGAGGGTCGCACATGCATGTGCCCATGCGCATGCGCACGCAACCCTCCCCCCCGCTCCTGCACATGATGGCCTGGTAGGCCCGGTTTTCTTTCTTAACCTGGTCCAGATCCTCTCTGTGTATCTGGGGAAGAAAAAAAAAAAAAAAAAAAAAAAAAAAAAAAAAACAAAAAAAAAAAAAAAAAAAAAAAAAAAAAAAAAAAAAAATGAAAAAAAAAAACAAAAAAAAAAAAAAAAGAAAAAAAAAAAAAAAAAAAAAAAAAAAAAAAAATAAAAAAAAATAAAAAAAAAAAAAAAAAAAAAAAAATAAAAAAAAAAAAAAAAAAAAAAAAAAAAAAAAAAAAAAAAAAAATAAAAAAAAAAAAAAAAAAAAAAAAAAATAAAA